ACAGTCATGCAAAAGTTATTATATTGCAGTTAAATACAATCCTTGGTTTTAGAATCACGCTTATAAAAAAGAGAAATTGTTTAGGTTTTTATCCCATTTCAATTTTTTTTTTTTTTTTAACTTTTTTTACTCTTTGCACAATCAACATAAGGATACCATTGAAATTAAAAAAAAAAACATTCGATCTGTAATAAGTTAGATGAAATAGTTTTTAAAAAAAATAATGATTTTTCCCCACGTCAAGATTCCTTGCAGTAAACAATTACAGCTATGTTATTACGCATTAAATATTTTTAAAAAATTTTTATGGTGACAATATATTAAGTTGTCCAATGAGTACAACAAGCTTTTGAAAACTAAAATTGGATAAAAAATTACAAAAACCCCAATATTTTTTAAGTCTGATAGTAAAATTTAGAATTATACACAAATGCCAAACAGTAAATGTCTTAAAAAATTTTCTTTTGCCTTATGAAGTATCCCATTTTCATACTATACTATTATTTTTTTATTGTATTACCTGCGTTTTTTCATTTAAGGTACGAGGGAGTATGCTACTGTTGTTACCACACTGTGTAAAAAGTCGATACTATTCTGTGCAGAGGGTTGATAAAAAAATTTGTACACCCCACGAGATTGAAAGAAAAAATCTCAGGATACAACGATTATAACCTTTGGTTTAGCTTCGAGCTAAGAAAAAACTATAGTTTTGCGATATTTCAGCAATTACAATTTTGCCTTTCACAGCAAACCTCCAAAATATCACGTTACAAAGTTATAGCCGAAAAACTATTTTTTTATTACCGAAAGTACCATCTCGAGTAGCATCATAAAATGATCGCCATTTTTTTCTGAAACATGAAACCTTGGCGATTTCAAACAATCACGTTCAACATAAAAGACGAAGCTCTCTGTCAAATTTCAGCCCAATCCGACAAAAAGCTACATGAGTTAGGCATAAAAATAAATTACGCCCATCCACGCATACATACACCTATGACGCCGAGGATGATAGGATAGGGAAAATGAGCCGGGTGTCGCTTAGGGTGTATTAGAGGACAAAGGTAGTCCTTCTAGGGACTTGGTGATGGTTACTATAGGGATATAGGTCAGTTAAAAGCCTGGCTCAAGTGCTAGTTGCACACCAAAAATTTTTTTTTTTTTTCCTTTTATTTTACATTATGCTCATATTGTGTTACCACTTCTGCCATCGCACATCAACCAGTTTATATAATTATTTTTGAATATTTCTATGCTCTATAATTGAAATAAAATTTGCATACACTATGTTATACTTACAATGCTGATAGTCTAAAAGGCAAGTATAGAGTACAAAACATGTAGATCTTGAGAAAAAAAAATTTCTATATGTTTTAAGACTTGCCGCAAACACTGAAAATTTTACAAAATCTTAAAACAGAAAAAAATAAGTTTTTTTTTGTTATAAATTTTTTTTCAGGTTTATGGATGAGTAAGAAAACTGTGTAGATTTTCTATATTTTTGTAATACACGCTTATAACTAAAATATAACTATCATGGTACAAATAGGAATACTTATCCAAAACATCCAAAAACTCATAAAAATGTGCTAACATTGATGAATCAAAAAAAGTTTTAAGCTCATACGAATATAGTTATACTTTTTGCTCTGGCTGAAAGTCTAACATCTGCAACATCTTGTCGTGCATTGGATGCGCAAATATAACAGCTTGTGTAATTTTTTGCTAAAAGAGCAATGTTTTGTTTGAGCTTATATAATTTCGTTAAAATTACTACTCTAAAAATAGTGTTTAACAAAATTATTTTTCAGCAAAAATAAGCATGACAATTTGGAAAACAAAAACAGTCAAAGTATTTGATAAAATATTGTTAACGTTACTATCAAAAACGTATTTTGCTCATCTGTTTAATAAATAAAATTACCGTACGGTCAATAGTGAGAGACAAAAATGCTTTGTTACCTGCAAAAATGCATTATATTTATGGAAGAAAAAAAACAACAAACCAGGGGGTATTCATGGGTCATGGGACCAACGGTAAGAACGAAGTTCTTTAAACGTGAGATGGGTATAGATACAATTTCTCGGGTAACAAGGGGGTCGCTAGACCCACAGGAAGAACGAAGCTCTGTAAACGTTAGTACTGCATTCATGTTGTTTACTAAAACAAAAACTTGAAAAACGAATGAAAAAAAAAAAAATAAATAGTCTAGATCTAAGAAATGGTGTCTATACCCATCTCATGTTTAAAGAACTTCGCTCTTACCGTGGGTCCCATAACCCATTTATACCCCCTGGTTTGTTGTTTTAATTTCCTTTTTATTTTTTTCATTTATTTTATTGTCTGTTTTCATCTCTTGTTTTATTTTTTCATACTTCATTTCGTTGTTTTTACATGTTTAAGTAAATAACTTTTTTTTAATTTAATTTTCTCTATTTGTTTTCATTTCTTTTTTTTTTTT